CACACACACACACACACACACACACAATCACACACACTTTATTCAGCAATGCACACACTCATCTAATGCCCATTCGATTTCCCAGAATGTCCACGATAGTGAGGGTCATCTTGGCTAGGTAGCTCTTCAATTGTTACGAGTATGACACAACCCAGTTTGATTCCCTAAGAAGAATTTCTCTCTGTTTTCTGAGGACCAGCTCGGGCTGAGAGGGACACAAAGGGTCCGGAAGATCGCAATACTCGATAAATAATTGTCTCCCTTCTCGGGAATCGAACTCGGGTCTCCAGCGTGCGATAGCGAAGCATTTAACCGCTACACCACTGATGCTGGTCCATGCCATAATATATATGACAATATGGTCAAAGTCTGTTTAACCCTATCCATACGCCCAGAGGTCATTTTGTACCACGGGGGTTGTATTCTTCACATTTGAGCATACTTCAAGTAAGAAGATCTCTTTGAAACTTTCATTATTTCTCAAAAGATAATTTAGACAGACTGCTATGCGAAGCCTACGGATCGGATTAACGAGTAAGTTCCTCTTTGGAAAGTGGTGGCGCAGAGTTCCCATGTCGTTTGGATACGATAGTAAAACACAACGTACGGATAGGGTTAAATTTATTTCATTTTGAGAAGCGAAAGAAAAGTCCAATCTTAAGTCGTACTCTCAGTCAGATCTGATTCTATCCACGAAGATTCAACTACATAGTTGAGCAGGCGTCAACGCCATCTAGATCTAAAGCTACATGAAGCATCGCAGATCCTGAACAGACAAAGATAAGGTCGCCCATCGCCTTAGACTTTTACCACACGTTTCTTTTTCCACCTTCGCAGAGATAAGAAATCCGGCCAGGATTATGGTGGGCCTGTAGGATGGTGAGAGCGTGTCCACCTGCCCCACGTATATGTCGCGACAGCTGACTGTAGACACACCGACACTAACATCTCTTTGTTTTCCGATTATTTTTGTAAAAACGCAATTTCCACACACACACACACACAAA